GGCCGTGTTTCAGCTTGTGGCACAGCTTGCAGTTCAGCATGAAAGATGAAAAAAATGTAACGCATCTGCGTTACAATGCCCCTGCGTTTATATCTCAAGAACTGCTGTGCCGATTACGCTCAAATTTAGGGTTCAGTCCGGTGAGGGCCTAACATACGAAAAACTCAACATCCCGTTGCCATCATCCCGAGGAGGAGGAGCGGGAGGAAAAATCGCCGTGCACGATTTTTCCTCGTGGAGGAAAAATCGGTGCCGTTTGAAAACGGTTTGGCCGAATGAAATAGGTGTGGTACCATTTTTTAGGTAATAGCACGTATGATACAATGAATGAAAAGAAAAAGTGATTGTTGCTACCACTTCCTTAATAATGAGAAATTTATTTGAAAATTTGATGCGCGCCGAGTGCGCTGTCCTTTACAACATCATAACGTATCGAAAACGTTGAAAATTGACCATGAAACACACATATTCGGATAGCGCATTCTTTTCTGATCAATATCCACCCAAAACATTATCAAAAAGTCAATAAACTTCCGTGAAAATGACTCAGGCATACCATCGTGTTTTGTTAACGTTAGACATATTTTCCGATGAAATCCGATCGATGGCTTATAGCCGGCATGTCTTTGAACATTTGACCATCAGTCAGCACGGCATAGGCTGCAAGGCACCGCCCGCTTACGGATATCGCCAAACCCTTGAAAATTGTACTTGCATATAACTCAGTCGTTTCTGGGCCGCAGGGGTGAAAAAATGTCTCAAGCTGTCACCGACGGAAGGTCCAGCTGACTCACGCCTAATTTTGACATTTGAGCAGTAGCTAAATGAAGTTTGAGATGCGCTGAGGACCTCAAGGTACGCCTATAATGAAATAATCAGTTTTCGACAGTCACAACTTTCATCATTGTGCTGCAGTAATTGGAATCACAAACCACTGACACCATAGGCGGCGGAACGGGGGGGGGGCACCGGGGCACCGTGCCCCCCTTGATTTTGGCATTTTAACATTAGCCCTATGGGCGTTGCATGGAAAGAATGGGACCAAAAGTCGGCAGTGCCCCCCCCCCTTAATTGAAGGTGTTCCGCCGCTACTGACTGACACGTAGATAAAAGGAAGAAGCTGTAGAACAGCGCTGAGTGTATTGTCCGTTCAAAGCGGAAGCAAATTTTCGTTCTATTTAATGCATGGCTTTAGGTCGTTTCGACACGAAGAGAAGCATCACAAACAAGATGATCATCCGCCATTCCATTTAGGTGAATGTTTTCCAGAAAAGGAGATGGAACAACGGTTGATCATAATCCTCAAAACACGGATAGCTCTCGTCGAGTGACGTTCAGCATGCTCCTTGTAAAACTCGGTTCGGTTAGAGAGTAGTTGATTAGTATGCAGCACCAACAATCTCAGCTTGTTCGAGACACCAATAGATACGGTTGTTAGGCTCATGGCGAGCGGCGAAGACCGCAGTCCCTTGTCCCTCTTATACGGCCTTGCCTTGCCCACGGTTTATGACGATTCGGCGGAGTCTCAGTCCTACCATCCCATAACGTCCGAGGTCTGTTTATGGCGCCGGCGATGGCTCCCCGAAGATCCTACTGGTCAGTTGAATTTGAAAAGTCTTAGTGATCGAACCTCGTTGTGTCGGTTGTGAGGCCGAGTATTGCGCAGAGGAATTGTGACTAGCGCTACGCATTGGTATAACATCGTAAGTAGGTATTAAGTGCCTATATCAGGCATCTGTAGTGTTTTTTTTTTCGGGAATAGAATCACCGTTAACAAATACTCCGCTAATTTAATTTACATTTAGATAAAAAACGTAAAGTGATTGTTTGATATTGCCGAGCAAGATAGCACTTTGACTTGTGATCGACCTAAGGATCAAGCTGGTATTACAAATAACATATGTTCTCCGTTAGACACTTTTCCTCTTCATAATGCAAACCTGATTCGAACTACATCGCATAAACATGCGTCGCCTCCAAGATGCGAACTCACGACCCACGAATCCGTAGTCCGAGACGCTACCAACTGCCCTACATGGGCCCGGGCGGCGCCGCCCGGAGAGATGCGAGGCGGCACGTGGGGTGCAGAGAAGCAGAGACATATTTACCCTGTACCCCCTAGAAGATCGGCTGGGTTTCGTGCAAAGTGGTAGCCAACCGAATGCTTTGACTTACCTGACATGTTTGCAGAGACTGAGATTGAGATAAGACAGATGCAGAGGCACCACTTGCACCATTCGTGGTGTTTGTGTTGGTGTCCGATGTCTGGCTTTTCCCATGTTCAGTTTAGCACAACCACGTGGCACACAAATTACTAAAAACGCCAACGGCCGCAATCCCGCCACACAAACAGTACAAAGAGTCTGCGATCATTCACGTGAGCACGGGTCGCCCCGTTTGAATTAGTTTATTCCTTCAGGTTGATAAACTTCAAAATGTGACCTACTGGCTACTTGCTAGAAACAGCGTGCATTCATTAGTTGACTTGGTCTGCTTGCTAGAAAAACGCGAGTCGTTGACAAATAAAACTTATGAGTATTTTAGCAAGTGGGTCAAGAAGCACATGAAAACATTACCTTGGGATTAAGCAATCTAAATATATAACAAATAACTGCTTTTACATGGACTGTTATAGATGGGAAAAATAACTCAAAAATTTAATGACGTCATTTACGTTGTGATAAAATGTGGTGCAACAAATCACTAGCCACTATTTATAAGAATCGCGCCATAATTGTAGCTGACTCATCGAACCCACCGGTATACTCACGACACGGCCGGCCTTTTTCATTGGCCAGCAGGGATGTCGGAAGCTGGTGGACGCGACTGCTATATTTTCGCTGGTATGATTTTAACGTGACTTCACATTAGGATATGCATTATGCTTTGGAATGAATGTGAATTGTAAGGGGTTGCGGACGTGATGACTGTTAATAGCTTTTCGTTGTCAACTATCAATTTGACAAGCCTAGCGCTGTCTCATCAAATGTCATAAGCTGTCACCTGCGTGCGTCGGCGAGTCGGAACTTTTTTTCACCCCTGCTGGGCCGATTGCGCTGAAACTTGGACTGTCGGCAGGCAGGGCACTCACCAAGCGATGTAGGGCCATGTGTCACGAGTGGGGTGGACTTATGCACGCGCGCACGTGAGGGGGTCTGCTTCTACATCTGATGAATCCCTGGGTCGAATCAATCAAATAGTGTACACTGTTAGGGACAATTTAGACAGGTGGCTCACATAAGTCATCTGGAGTCTCAGTAAGCGCGTGCGCACGTGCAGCGCCCCTGCACATGCGTTTATATCTCATCTTATATATATATGCCCCTGCGTTTATATCTCAAGAACTGCTGTGCCGATTACGCTCAAATTTAGGGTTCAGTCCGGTGAGGGCCTAACATACGAAAAACTCAACATCCCGTTGCCATCACCAGCATATCATACATTTCAAGTAAAAAACCTGCCCTGCTTTGCCCAAATATGTTTTACATACAAATAAATGGGGCCAAACATTAAATTGAGCTTTCGTATTACAACACCTTCAGATAAACGTTTCTTGACATAAAAGGTGACAACCCACAGATGTGAGGACACGACATTGCGGTACAGTGCGCACGCAGGCGGCTGTATTCGCCCAAAGCGACATTGCGGTGCAGCATGCAAGCAGGCGTTTGATGGTTCTGCCATCTAGCGTGTAAAAGGGAAATGTGGGGCGGTGGACACGACATAGCGGTACAGTATGCACTCAGGCGGCTTTACTCGCCAAAAGCGACATTGCGGTACAGCATGCAAGCAGGCGTTTGATCGTTCTGCCATCTAGCGCGTAAAAAAGAAAAGTGGGGCGGCCGCGCAATGCTTATTAGTCGATTTCACGACGGCTATACGGTACACATTTGGTACACATTTTGATAGGTCAGATTATCAGGCATTATGTTCGATTAAAACAGCGAAGTTAATTCATGATAGATAATTGTTGGAAACAAGATTTGGTGCAGATGTTTTTTGTGGTCAACTTCGATGCATTCGCCAGATTCACCCGACGTGAAAGCGGCTATTTACTGAGCTCACCAGTTCTTTCCCTTTTCAGGATTCGGGTTCGACTCATCCTGATTCCGTATGCAATATCAACATTTTCCAGTTGCGAGCTTACGGGAGCGCCATGCAAGACAGCTCCAGTTGGTCATTTGTCATACAAAAAAGCGTTTGAGAGTTATTTATGGTGTCGGGTGCACATCTGAGAATAATATCCAAACAATGATAAATGTCACGCTGCACATCAAATGGTGACCGGCAGCCTCGCAGAGCTCCAATACTGTCAGGTGGATTAAGTCCCTTACCCTTCGCTCCTTATGCCGCAATGATAAGAAGAGTGAAATGATATAAAAATACAATAAATAGATAAGTGAAACAAATAAATTAAATTTACTTTATAACATTAAAAAATGTTGATACTATTAAATGCTGATAACATTAAAAAAAATGCTTACACTAATGATGGTTAACAATGAACAGATAAAAGTGGATCACAGTACGTACTAATAGATAACAATACAACTATGTATTGTTAATAAAAAAAAAAAATAGAACTGACAGTCACACGAATGACGTCAATTCATAACCTTTGCGGTTTCCCTGCCTGGGGGATCGATAAACTCCATTGGCAGTAAACACAAACGTATCACCTAATTCAGAGGAACCAGTGGGTAAATAGCATAACTCACCTGACTCAGAGGATGCTAGAGGAAAAATAATGAATGGATTGCAACAATATGCATACATTTTACTTTCTATTTAGGCGTATTATGCGCATTTGCCGCTTTGCAAATTTTTGTTTACATTTCGCGTCCTGCAGTGACAATCGGTGTAGCCGGCATTATTATAGTCAGCTCCCGTTGCTTCCTACCACCATGAGACTTCATTTGTATATATAGTGTTATTTATTGTGCAGTGTTGTGTGAAGGAGTGTTTCGTGTTGAATTGTGTGGTGTGAGAACGTTTCGAGAATGCCTGGTCGCGCGGGCCAAGCCGCCCGTGAGCGGAACGCGGCCGCCCAGCGGCGGCGTCGTGAGCGGCTGCGCCAGGCCCAGCGTGAGGCCGAGGCTCTGCGCCTGGCCGCCGAGCGTGCCGCCGAGCGGGGGGAGGCAAGGGGGGAGGCGGCGGCGGACCGTCCCGCCCAGGACGTGGCGGACGGCGCCGTCGATGACTCTGACGGGGAGCAGGCGGAGGCCGAGCGGGAGGCCGCTCGGGAGAGGATTCGCGAGCGACAGCGTCAGCGCCGCGCCGCGATGGCTGATGCAGAGCGGGAGGCGGAGCATCTGCTAGATCGAGAACGGCAGCGTCAGCGTCGTGCCGACCTGCAGGAGGAGGAGCGGGAGGCCGAGCGACAGCGGGACGTAGAACGGCAGCGTCAGCGTCGTGCCGACCTGCAGGAGGAGGAGCGGGAGGCCGAGCGACAGCGGGACGTAGAACGGCAGCGTCAGCGTCGTGCCGACCTGCAGGAGGAGGAGCGGGAGGCCGAGCGACAGCGGGACGTAGAACGGCAGCGTCAGCGTCGAGCCGACCTGCAGGAGGAGGAGCGGGAGGCCGAGCGACAGCGGGACGTAGAACGGCAGCGTCAGCGTCGTGCCGACCTGCAGGAGGAGGAGCGCGCGGCCAGGCGTGCTGCCGACGCGGCGGCGGCGGCGCGGCGGCGGAGGGCGGCGCGTGAGCGCGGCAACCGGTCCGCCTGCGATGCCGAGGCGGTGCTAAGCGGCCGGCAGCAGGTCGCTGTCCAGGACACGGGGCAACGGAACATCAACTGCGAGCACTGTGGCGCACTGCGCTGGCCGTCGGAGCGCGCCACTCTGTGCTGCCAGGCCGGCAAGGTGCGGCTGGAGCCCGTGCCGGCGCCACCGGCTCTCCTGCGGCGCCTGTGGACGGAGGACGACCTGCTGGCCCGCACTTTCCGAGAGCACTCCCGCCGCTTGAACACGGCGCTCAGTCTCGCATCAATGATGACGCGGGAGGTGCGGCCGGCGGACGGTGGCTACGCGCCGTCCGTCGTGATCCAGGGCCGCCTCTACCACCGCCTCGGCCCGCTGGAGGCTGGCGACGGCCACGAGCCGTCGTTCGCCCAAATTTATGTGAACGACCCGGCCTGCGCAGACCCGGCGACGGAGGCGGCCATGCGGCTCGGCCACGTGCCGCTGCCGCGAGCCACCAGCCCGGCGGTGCGGCAGCGCCTCCTGACACTGCTGGAGGACCTGCAACTCCTGTTACGCGAGGTAAACCCTTACGTGCAGGATTTCATCCTGGCCTCCGAGCTGCCCGAGGACCAGGTGGACCAGCAGCAGCTGGTCATCAGCGCCGAGGCCCGCCCGGCCGACCAGCACCGCCGGCGCTACAACCCTGCCGAGGGGTTCAGGGAGGCGGCGGTGCTCATCGGCGACGAGCCCGTCCATCAGGACATTGTTCTGCGGCGTCGGGCCGGTGCTGACGGCCCGGCGCTGCAGACAATCAACGAGACCCACCGCGCCTTTGAGGCCCTCCACTACGTCCTCCTGCTGCCCTTCGGCACCGACGGCTGGCAGCCCGGCCTGCGGCACGCGGTGCCCAACGCCCGCGGCGTGTACGGGCAGCTCACGCTGACGCAGTACTACGCGTACCGCCTTCAAGAGCGACCCGGGATGGACGACACCCTCCTGCGCGGCGCGCGTCTGCTCCAAGAGTACGTCTGCATGGCGTTCGCGCGCGTCGAGACGCAGCGACTCCTGTGGGCAGCACGCAACCAGCAGGCTATCCGCGCCGACCTCTACCAGCGGCTGGAGGACGCGCTTCCGGTGGACGCGCTCGCCGAGCAGCGCGAAGGCGAGCAGCGGCTGGGTCGGCGCATCATCCTGCCGGCCAGTTTCACAGGAGGTCCGCGCTTTTACCAGCGCCGGTGAGTTTTGCCCTATCTATAGTGATCATGAGCGAATCTCTTTTCAATATTTTTTTTCGGATCATGAATTTATGTCAGTGTTTTAATCGAAAACAATGTCTGTTAACTTGGCAAAATGAGGTATATAAGCATCTGTGCAGCTTAAACTAATAACTTTTAACAAGGACATTGAGCTACTTTTACCAAATCTGTATCTAATCTGCACCAAATGCGTACCAGATAGCCGTCGTGAAAACGGCTATTAATGCAGTGATGACAGTTTGATGCATATGCCGCTACCGCGGTAACATGCTGTAAATGCATCACATTTGACTAATATACAATCGGTAGCCGAGCGAGGTATCCACCTATCTACCCCTCAAAGTCAAGAGACAAATTGATATTGATTGTCATCAATGTTTCGTTTTGCAGCTACATGGACGCCATGGCGATCGTCCGGGCTCTCGGGAGGCCGACATACTTCATCACCTTCACGTGCAACCCGGACTGGCCCGAGATCCGCGCGGCGCTGTTGCCCGGCCAGGACGCCCAGTCGCGGCCAGACCTGGTGGCGCGCGTGTTCGGCCAGAAACTGCGCGTCCTTCTGGATGAGCTGACCAAGCGTGGCATCTTCGGACGCTGCGTGGCTATCTTGATGGTCATCGAATTCCAGAAGCGCGGTAAGCCTAAGCAAAATCTGCTTCTTTTACACACTATCTAAACGGCGCCCGGGTTGTTCTCTCAACCAAATTCGCCATAGAGGTGGGGGGGGGGGAGCGTTTTGGCTACACCAGATTTTATCGGAAAATACCTAAGCAGTGTTGTAAGACGCGGTGAATGCAATAGATACTCTATAAGATCTTTGAGAATCATGCAGGTCATTCTTTGATGATCAGGTCATGGCTGAGGTCACTGAAATATTCCGGTTCAGTGTGTCATGTTCACCTGTGTCCCGATGTTTGAGAGTGTTTTCGACCAAAAGAAGAGCATTGCAATTTTATACCATTGACTTATAATGCCGAGGTCACAAAATTGACCTGACCTTATAGGTCACCGATATCAAAATTTCGAGATATAGGTGCAAATTGTTGGTACGTTGATCCCTTCATGCAATAGCCGAGTCTCAAGCTTCTGGGATGTATATTGTAGGAATGACCGAGCCACAAATTTTCCAGAGGCATGGTTACTTGACCTGGTGACCTGACGTTATGTGGCCTGGGGTCAAATTTTTAACACACGATGCGAAATTGATGTGTCATAAGTGATACCAGGTTTCGCAGCGCTACGCGCCGCAGTTTTCCTTACACTTGCAAAAAAAAAACTGACACATGTGGCCAAAAACACCCTCTCCCTCCACCAGGGGGTTAACGGCGGTACGAATCTGACATTGTTTGCCTATACCCACGGCTGTAGGCTTTGCTTCTATTTGTTGTCGTTCAACTATCACACAATGATATCTTAATGGCTAATTGTCATGTTTTGGCCAGTCGCCGGCAGGCCAGAATATAAACGGTGCGAATTTTTACCGACGCATGTTCCACAATGCACGCGTGTTGTGCGGTACAGTCTACCCCTTTATTACGCCGGCAAAAACTGAACGGCTAAACCGGCACCAAGATCAATTGACGCGCAATTCCGGCGATATCAATGAAGCATTGCACTGCACCATTGTGCCGCTCTCGGGTGGCTGTACTGTTTTGACAAGCGTCTGCGTGTTGTTTTCAGGGCTGCCCCACAGCCACATCCTACTGATAGTCCGTCAGGAGGATCGGCCGCGGACCGCCGACGACGTCGACGCCGTCATCTCGGCCGAACTGCCCGACCCGACGCAGTCGGACCAGGCGCGGCGGCTCCATGCCATCGTCGTGCGGTCGATGGTGCACCGGCCGTGCAACACCATGCGGCCAGCCCCGGCCTGCATCATCAACGGCCGCTGCGATAAGGGATTCCCCAAACCGTACGCGGCCGTCACGGAGTGGCGGGACGATAGCCCGTACCCCGTGTACCGGCGCCGGGCTGCAGCAGACGGGGGACATGAGACGGCGCGCGACGGCCGGCTCATCACCAGCCAGTGGGTGGTGCCGCATTCGCCGTACCTGTCCCTCCGCTTCGACGCGCACGTCAACGTCGAGGTCTGCTGCAGTGTGCAGTCCGTTAAATACCTCTTCAGGTAAATATACTGAGAGTGTAGTGTGCCTGTTCAGAATGTCACATCGTTTTAATTCAAAGCGTCTTTTGATGCGCGCGTCTTGATGGGATGCAGCAAACGCATCATTCATATGATGCATGTATCTATAAGTCCTATTCATGTCAGATTAAAATTAGAGTTTGATTTTATCGAGAGCTGCAAAGTGTCTTATTGTGAATCAGACCCGAACGATTGTTCTGACACATGCTGAGGGAATGTATGACCCATTCAACCCAATTTAATCCAAACTTCGACCCCGGCTAACTGTTGATCCAGCTGATCACCCATGTGATTCACGTTGATTCAGTGTAACCCAAACGGAGCCAATGTTTTCCCGCCTGCTCCTGTGACATGAATTCAGCTATCCAAGTTCTTTCGCACATCGAGCTAGCGTGCATATTGGATTGTCTAACAGTTCGTCGATGTTTTCAGGTATATATACAAGGGCCCCGACCGGCAGATGGTGCGTGCCGACGCCCTGGTCGGCCTTGGCGACGAGATCGCCGCGTACCAAGATCTCCGCTCGATTGGCGCCAGCGAAGCCTGCTGGCGCCTATTCGAGGAGCCCATCAGCCGCCAGCAGCCGACCGTGGTGACGCTGCAGGTGCACCTGCCCAACCAGCAGCTGGTGTACTTCGAGCCCGGCGGTGAGCAGCAGGCCATCGAGGCCGCCCGGCGCACCCAGCTCACCGCCTGGCTCGAGTACAACCGCGACTCGGCCGCCACCGACCCCCAGTGCCGGCAGCTGCTCTACCCGGACTTCCCGTCCGGCTACACCTGGCAGGTCGGCCAGAAAGTCTGGCGGAAGAGACGGCAGCAGCAGGCGACGGAGGCCATCGGCCGGGTGGTGTACCTCTCGCCTCGGCACGGCGAGGTCTTCTACCTGAGAGTCCTCCTGCACCATGTGCCGGGCGCTGCCTCCTTTGAGGATTTGCGCACGGTCGCTGGCGTGCTGTGCGCCACCTACCGGGAGGTGTGCGCGGTCAGAGGCCTCCTCCTTGAGGACCGCGAGTGGGAGGCCACCATGCGTGACGCCGCCCACGCGCAGATGCCCGCCCAGCTGCGACGCCTGTTCGGCGTCATCCTGCTCTTTTGCACGCCAGCCGCTCCGATGCAGCTCTTCGAGCGGCACCTGAACGACATGGCAGAGGATTTCGTGCGGCGGCACGCCGGTCTGCCGGACGACCTGCAGGCGACGCTGGTGCTGCTGCAGCTAGAGGAGCAGCTCCAGCAGGCCGGCAAGCAGCTGGACGAGTTCGGCCTGCCGGTGCCCACCGCCGAGCAGCGCGCGCTGGCCGCCGACCTGGAGCACGCCGACGCCGAGCGGCGACACCTGCCGCGCCTCATCCAGGAGGAGATGGAGCACGACGACGCCGAGCTGCATGACCAGCTAGCCGCCCAGCTGCCCGTCCTGCTGCCGTCCCAGCGGGACATCTTTGACCGGGTGCTGGCGGCCGTCGACGAGCACCGACCGCTGGCCATCTTCGTCGACGCCGCCGGCGGCACCGGCAAGACTTTTCTTTTCAACACGCTGCTGGCGGCGGTGCGCGCGCGTGGAATGGTGGCGCTCGCCGTGGCATACAGCGGCATCGCCGCGACGCTGCTGGAAGGTGGGTGCACCTTCCACTCGCGCTTTAAGGCGCCGCTCAACCCCGAGGCCACGTCAACCTGCGCCATCGCCGCCCAGAGCCCGCTGGCCGACCTGATTCGGAGGACGGCCGTTATCGTCTGCGACGAGGCGCCCATGGCGCACCGTCACCTGCTTGAGGCGTTCGACAGAACGCTACGCGACGTCACCGGAGAGGACGAGCCGTTCGGCGGCAAGGTGGTCGTCCTCGGCGGTGATTTCCGTCAGATACTGCCTGTCATCAGGTGAGCATTGCTGTTTTGTCCATGTGTGTGTGTACATCTCAAACTGAGCAATGTCTGTGTTAACGGGGACTGATATTAAGAGCAGTCATGTGAGCTTCGGCTAATATTCGCTTTAAATCATCGAAAAAGAAGTTAGTAATTAATGAGAATAAAGTTGCTAAATTGCTTATAAGGCTATCATCAGTCGATAATAACCCATAAACACAGTGTGTATTCATATAGCATATTTCAGTTGTGCGTTGAAAAAAATGTTAATCAATATCATGAAATGCCAACAAAAGAATCTAAGTGTTCATTTAGAGAAATGGTTTATATGCTTATAGTCTTATTATAGATCGCTAGAACATTTTCAGCAACTTTCAGACAACTAAAAAGTTTCGACAGCAAAAGTGTGACATTTGGCTCGCTCCCCTTTTGGCAGGCACGGATCACGCGCCGCGGTGGCTGGCGCCTGTCTGCGCCGGTCGCCGCTGTGGCGCCACTTTGTAGTGGCCCAGCTGCGCACCAACATGCGCGCCCGCCTGGCCGGCGGCGAGGACGGCGCGGAGCTGGAGGCGCTCGCCGACTGGCTCCTCCAGCTGGGCGACGGCCGTCTACCCGGGCCGGAGGACGGCTTTGTCCAGCTGCCATCTGCACTGACCATGGACGCCGACGTCACCGCCGTCATCGACTGGGTGTTCGACGGGCTCGCCGACCACCACGACGACCACCAGTGGATGGCGTCGCGTGCCGTGCTGGCGCCGCGCAACACCCGAGTGGACGCGATCAACGCGGCCGTCACGGCGCTCTTTCCCGGCGAGGAGGTGCACCTCCTGAGCGCCGACAGCCTGGAGGAGGAGGCGGAGGACGAGCTGCCGGTACCGGTGGAGTACCTCAACACCATCGGTGCTCCCGGCCTTCCGGCGCACGACCTGGCCCTCAAGCCAGGAATGCCGCTGGTGCTGTTGCGGAACCTGGCCGCCACCGACGGCCTCTGCAATGGGACGCGCCTCATCGCCGGACGCATCCTCAGCCCCCGTCTGCTGGAGGCCACCATCGCCTGCGGGAAGCACGCCGGCCGGCGGGTGCTGATCCCTCGGCTGCCGCTGCAGCCACCGGACGGCGTGTTCCCGTTTCGCTGGACGCGCTGCCAGTTTCCAGTGCGCCCGGCCTTCGCCCTGACGATCAACAAGTCGCAGGGCCAGACGCTGGGACGGGTGGCCGTCTTTTTAGACGAGCCCGTTTTTAGCCACGGACAGCTATACGTGGCGGCCTCGCGCGTCGGCCGGCCAGATGACCTGCGCTTCGCCCTGCCGGCCGGCAGCCAGGGCGCCACCCGTAACGTGGTGTACGGCGAGGTGCTCGGCGACTAGCCGTGCCCACGACGGCGATGGCGACAACCACGACAACGACGACGAGCTCAGGTTGTTTACCCGCAGGCATCGGTGAGCTTTGCACTACCTGTCGGGATTTCCCCTGTAAAAAAGAAATGCAGTCCGATGTGGCAGCCTCCACGCGGCGGGCTGTGGATGATACTAATTGCCACACAAAGCTAACGGTGAGTGGTAAGTACATATTAAATCATGATGAATTGAAGAGGTGCCTATTTTCTGCGAATTCATACGGTTTCCTCAATGTCTTTCTTATGTATGTATGTATGTATGTATTGACGATCAAGAGCAATCCACAATCGGCGTGGCGATTACACTCCGAGTCCGAGCTGGTTGAAGATAACACAAGAAATAGGTACCTACACGAGAAAACGCACACACTTACGGATACGAAATACACAACGCGAACGCCGAACACGCACATACTTGGTGTAACCCGCACGAAGCCGCGTTCATAACTATGTACACACAGACTCGTTTGCCTTTCATAGTCCAAGAGTCATGAGGCTAGCTACTATGGCTACTCTGGCTAGGCTTAAGCCCCTTTTTTACAGCACGGGCAAATCTGGCTGGAGGCAACTGCGTTAGCTCGAGGGGGAGAGTATTTAGGAGCGCCGCGGCACGGTAGGCGAATCTACGTTTTCCGGTCTCTAGTCGGGGTCGCGGTAAGTGGAAAAGGTGGTCTTGGCGAGTAGACCTTGCTCGTGTTTGGGATTTTTTGGAAAATAGGGTCGCGATCTCCTCGGGTTCACCTCTCTGGATGGCCTTGTGCGCCGTGATAAGGGTATGGTATTCAGCCATTGTTTTAGGTGCCATCCAGCCGAGTTGGTCCCGGAGATGGGAGACATGATCAAATTTACGGCGACCGAAAATGACTCTAGCGGCAAAGTTAAGAATTTTCTGAATGCGATCGAAGTTCTTTTGGCTACCATTACCAAATACGGAGAGACAGTACTGGATCCGTGACATGACGAGAGCCACCACTAGTGTCTTGGTGACACCGTCGGGGAGATAGTGGCGGACATGGGAGAGGCCAATTAGGAGACCCGTGCATCGGCGACTGAGCTCGGACACATGCGCGTCCCAGGACAGGGTGCCGTCGAAGATAACGCCCAGGTTGCCCACCTGCTTGCATGGCACTAGTTTGGTGTCTCGAAAAGAAACGGTGAAAGCAGGTATGCTTCTCAAATTTTGCCGACTGCCGAAAACCCTGAGCTGAGTTTTAGCAGTGTTTACTTTAAGAGCATTTGCACTGAACCAATGGTCGAGAGACGCCAGTGACGCTTCCAAGCGCGAGATGAGTCCCCTAAGGTCGTTTAAAGGGCCACTCACCAACAATTGAGTATCATCAGCGTACTGGAAGACTGCTGCATCCTCAGAATAAAGTGATAGATCATTGGAAAATACCGTGAAGAGTAAGGGACCGAGTGCCGAGCCTTGAAAGACGCCCATAGAGTTGGGGAGAGGTTGTGATAATACCCGGCGACCGGACTCGTCCTTCAATGACACACTCTGTGTGTGACCCTGGAGATAAGCGGCGAACCAGGATGTCTCTATGCCGTGCATTGCCAATTTAGCGAGTAATAACTCATGGTTGATGACATCAAAACATTTGCTTAAATCAATAAGGCATAGCATAGAGACATCCCCCCTATCGGTGGCGGCCAGGATTTGGTCACTGACGGACAGAAGTGCTGTCTCAGTTGAGTGCCGGGGTCGGAAACCGTGCTGGGTATTGGCCAGAAGATGGTTTTGGGAGAGATAGCGATAGAGCTGTTTGTGAATGACTCGCTCGACCACCTTCATAATGACAGGTACTAAGGAGATAGGTCGAAAATTAGTGGGATCAGATGGGTTTCCAGACTTGAAGATGGGGTGAACTATAGAGTGTTTCCAATGAAAGGGGATATCGGACCTTGAGATGCAAGTGTTAATGATGTGAAGGATAACGTCACCGATAGATGGCCCATCTACACGCGGCAAACGGCCAATTTGCTCAACAACTGGATTTTGGTCACGGATCTCTGTAGCGACGCGGGGACCCACAGAAACGAAAAAAGAATTTAAAACGTCAGCCGATACATCAGGTTGAACACTTGGTCCGTCTTTCTTACCAGCCACAACCGACCTAATACTTTTCCACACCTTGTTGGGACCCCGCCCACTAATCTCTCTGTGAAGTTCGCCGCGACGGTCTCGTCGCACTGCGGCCCGGACAGTTCGGTTTAAGTCTTTGTAAACCTCCGACTTTCTACCGAACTGCTGTAACGCGGTACGACGTTGATCCATGATTTTCTTATTTGCAATCGTTGTGGTGCTGTGAAGGTAAACAATGTTTTGAAACCCACCAAGCTATAGAAAGCCCAAAACTGTACAAAAGGAAACATTACGTGATAATACATTGGCTATATTTGCACAAATCACACTTAAAACAAAAAATAATTTCAAAACAAACGTGTCTATCTGTTTGTGTGCATATGCCCTAGAGACAGTATTGCGGTACAGTGTGCATTCAGGCGGTGATACGGCAGACGCGGCACTGCGGCACAGCGTCCATTCAGGCGCTTGACGCTCCTGCCATCTAGCGAGTAAAAAGGAATGTTTGGGCGGCTATGCGAGCCGCACTTATTGGGTAGGTATGCGCACTCGATTACCTACCTGGCAATCTTCAAGAGAACAACCTTTCACCATTTAAAGCATCAATAATATCCATCCATGATATTGAACAAACGAATGTGATAGAATACAGTTAGAGTAGTTTACAGTGCTCATGTTAAGAACGTAGGTATGTTATGTTACGACTTACTGATGGTTATAGGAATGCACTAGAGTAAGGTGGGAATAGAGCCTATTAGTAGGGTATGGGTAGGGTGTAGGTAGGGTATAGGTAGGGTAGGATATGTATATGGGTAGAAAAGCGTTTTTTTTTGCGGCGTTCCCGATTGGCGGCCGGGCGATGCGGGCGATTTTAATTTTTTTTTTTTTGGTGGCGTTTGCGGTTGGCGGCGGGCGGGCGGGCGGGCGATGCGGGCGATTTTCATTTTTTTGCGGCGTTTGTGGTTGGTGGCGGGCGGGCGCGCGATGCGGGCGGTTTTCATTTTTCGAGGCGTTTGCGGTTGGCGGCGGGCGGGCGGGCGATGCGGGCGGTTTTCATTTTTTGTGGCGTTTGCGGTTGGCGGCGGGCGGGCGCGCGATGCGGGCGGTTTTCATTTTTCGAGGCGTTTGCGGTTGGCGGCGGGCGGGCGGGCGATGCGGGCGGTTTTCATTTTTTGTGGCGTTTGCGGTTGGTGGCGGGCGGGCGCGCGATGCGGGCGGTTTTATTTTTTGCGGCGTTTGCGGTGTTGTTTGCGGTTGGAGGCGGTCGTTTTTTAATTGTGCGGCGTTTGCGGTTGGCGGCGGGCGGGCGTGTTTTTCTTTAATAATTCAATGTCCAAACTTTTGGATCCGTAGTGCTCCTCGAAAAGCCATGCCTACCTACCATTACTATACATTTAAATAAAGTAACTATCAAACTCAACCCTACTTATATAAACATACAAACCAAACTAATGGCCCCATCAACAATATCTATCCAAACGTACAGTTATCGCGTAAACCTGTATTCTAGTCGGATATATTATAAAAGAGAAGTTGTCCATAGAGATCTTATATACATAGAGATGACATGCACTTAAAATCGTGGCGATTCAGTGGGTCTTTTTAAGCAACTTATTTTCAGCCAGTAGCGTGCCAATATGGCTGAGGCATTGTTAGTCTGAAGAAATTATTACGTAGCGAGCGAAGCAAGCGTAGTCTTTCGTAGATTAACGGAAATTTCTGAGTATGAGCGGCCAGCCGGCCGTGGTTACGCTTTTGCGAGGCTTATATCTCAGCAACCACTTGACCGATTTACATTCGATGATTTTTCTAGGGTAGCTTCATTCCTTCTACCAAGTATTGGACTATTCTCGATGCATGTGGGTGACCGCTTATGCACGTGCCACGTGCAAAACGAAGAGGTGTCAGTTTTGCAATTGTTGCAATATCTTGGTAAATACTTGGCCGATTGCGCTGAAAGTTGGTATGTAGGTAGGCACCCACTAGGCAATGCATATCCATGTGCCACAGTAGGGGTGCTGCTGCACGTGCGCACGTGCAGGGGTCGATTCCAGATCTCGAGAACGGCTGAACCGATTGTGCTGAAATTTGGTACATGGTTAGGGACCAGTTAGTAGGGTGCCGTGCAAAAGTCAGTTGTGACCCATTTTGCACGTGTGCACGTGCAGGGTGCCGCTTCCAGATCTCGAGAACGGCTAGGCCGATTGCGCTCAAATTTGGCACATCGCTAGGGACCGGTTAGTAGGGTGCAGTGCACAAGTTAGTTGGAGGTGTCCCTTGCAAATTCGCTTGTCCAAGGCCCACCCTCTCGCTCGCTCCGTTGGTCGCCCCAAAAGGCGTTTTACTGGTTAAAAATATTGCTGATCTTTCCTGGCTGATTTCATTCCTGAGGTAAGCAATGAAATTTGTAGCATGATTTCATTTTGTGTTTTTATTGAATTCCTTAAAAGCTCGCCTAAAAGCATTCTCTCTCATTCAGGCTCTCATCAACCCGGCAGGCGGTGGACCTCCCGGCCACCTTCCGCGCGGTGGGGGGGGGGCATTTTTTTGCCCCCCTCCCGTATCTCCGAAACTACTGGACGGATCCGTAACATTCAAACGATGTTCGATAGCCCTGTCAAATTTGTCGATGGAACTCCAATTTTATTGACCTCGGGGTCACCGATGACGTCACAGGTCAGGTCAAAGATAAAATGTTTCGCGTACGTTAAAAATAGGGCGTACGTTGCCTAGTAGGTATATATGTTGCTATTAGAGGTCACTGATAATACCATGTCAGGTCACAGGTCAGGTCACCAAGGGTCAGCACATGAACCAACTTTACTATTTACTAGGGTTGTGCGATGCATGTTTTATGGCCCCCCTGACATGGTCCCCCCAAAAAAAAGGTTACAGGTCTAAGGTCATTTGGGTCAGGTTCATGGAATTTTCAGGGTAGGTTCCGTGAGATTTGGTCAAGTTTGGCGCTTTCGGTCAACCGTCGTGAAAACGGCTGTTCTGATTTGAACCTTTCTGAGCACGGTGCAAGCTCAAATATACATATGTTGCATGTTCCCATTCAATGACACATTAACCCTCGCCGGACCTATTGGTTTTCTACATACGCGCCGGCCGGGGGGGGGGGGGGGTTGGTTGGTACGAT